CTGTGGTGGTACCAGGGATGCTGTGGCCGTGCTGAGGATGCTGTGGCAGTGCCAAGGATCTCGTGGCTGTGCCAAGGCCGGCTCAGCGGTGGGAGCCACAGGCTCTGGTGCTCAAACACGGCCCCCAGCTCAGCACCGAGCACCAGGCATCCCCTTTACCCCCCACCCAGCACCTGCTCTGTGCAGGAGCAGGCTGTGCAAGGAGATGAGGGGTAAAACCATGGGGAAGGGTGAAGAAAATCCTTCCCCCGGGCTGAGGAGCGCTCACTCGGCTTCCCTCGCGGGCGGATTATCCCCGGGTGTGTTGCATTGGAAATGATCCCATTAGCGCTCTGCTCTCCTGATCTAATTTGCTCCCACCAGAGCCCGGTGCTCTCCGGGGCTGCTGGGGTGGGAAACAGCAGCAGGAAGGAGCCTTTTGTGCTTCCCTGGCCCTGCAGAGGACGGGGCTCGCTCGCCCCGGGGGATTTCTTGCCCCTGGAGGGGCCTGGGCAGGTCCAAGCCCTCTGCACAGGGACCTGTGTTTGTTTGGGCACAGCCTGATGCCAGGTTTGCCAGTGGGGAAACTGAGGCTCAGGGAAATGCTGTGGGCCTGCTGGGAGGTGGTTGGGATCCATTCCCTGTGGCAGGTGCTGCCTGAGAGAAAGCTCGGTGGTGGCAGCGAGTGTGGGGCTGGATCGTGCCTGGAGAGCAGTGGGTGGCGTTGGAAGGTGTCCATCCCAAATGTCCCAAAGGCAGTGGCTCGGCCCTGACTCCTCCTAGGACAGGAGCTGCTGGCTGCTCTCTCCCAGCTTGGCTACCATCAGCACATGGCTGTGCTGGGTGGCTCCAGAGCTGGGGCTCACCCCACCCCGACACCTTTATCCAGAGGGCTCCATCCCACTGGAGCTGGGACTCACCCCATACCAACACCTTTATCCAAAGGGCTCCATCCCCCTGGAGCTGGGACTCACCCCACACCATCACCTTTATCCAAAGGCTCCATCCCTCTGGAGCTGGGGCTCACCCCACACTGTCACCTTTATCTGAGGGGCTCCAGCCCTTTTGCAAGTGTCAGTTCAGCAGCACAGAGAATCCCCCGTGCCCACGGGTACCCGAGGGGAGGCTGATGCTGTGCTGAACCCCAGATCTTGCCCAGGGTGAGGGGCTGTGCCAGGGTCCTGCTTGGTGATGACCCCACTGGGCACAGGGAGTGTGGGGGGTGAGGGCTGTGGTTCAGTGCCACGTGCTCCCCCCAAGTGAAACAGGGCAGGAAAACACCCTCCTGGCAGGAAAACAGCCCAGCCAGGAGGGTGCTCTGGGAGCTCATTAATGATATTAATGACTAATTGCCCACTTGCCCCTGTAATTGATAAATCCAGGAGTTCAGCAGGGCTGGAGCTGTGCCCGCGGCTCCTGCCAGGTTTCATCCCGACCATACCCTGAATCCAGGCCTCCCCTCAGGTCTCATCCCAAGCTTGCCCCCTGTGAAGCCCCTTCCTGCCCTGGCAGTGGGCAGCAGAGGCCCTGCCCCCCTGCCCAGCCCCAGCTCCCCCCTGCTTGTGTCCCTTTATCTCTCTCCAAAGGGAAATATTTTCCCAGGCTCTGCCTCCATCCATTATCATAAAGTGGCTTCACTTGGCCTGCAGTTAATAATTCACCTTTCCTTGGAAGATGGATGCTCCACGCCGCTGGAGTTTAAATATTCATGGGGAAGGGAAGGCAGCAGGGCCGTGCAGGAGCTCTGGCACAGCTTCTGCCATCCTCAAATGTTCTGGTGCCCCTGGCACCTCCAGCCTCTGGCTGCTCCAGGGATTCCCGTCCCGGGGTGGAGCAGGCTTACCTGGAGCAGGCTCACCTGGAGCAGCACACAGGGAAGCTGCAGCCGTGGTCTGGAGAGGGAGATGTGCAGGAAGAACTCGGCTGGGTGCAGTTTTGGGCACTCTCAGGGTGGATGGGGCTGTGTCCAAGGGTCCCCTTGTCACAGCCCAGGTGGGTTGGTGTCACTCTGAGCCTTCTGCTCATCCAGGTCTCTTCTGGGTGTTGGGAGTTTCCAGGTCCTGTGGGATGCTGGGGAAGGGCTGGTGTGATCCAGCTGCATGGGGGTCCTGCACCCCTCCCTGTGCCTCCATGGGTGGGGAAAATAGAACACACTGAGCTGGAGGGACCCACCAGGATCATCCAGTCCAACCCCCGTCCCTGCCCAGACACCCCAACAATCCCACCCTGTCCTTCAGAGTGTTGTCCAAACCCTCCTGGAGCTCTGGCAGCCTTGGGGCTGTGCCCACTGCCCTGGGGAGCCCGGTCAGTGCCAACCACCCTCTGGGGGAAGAACCTTTCCCTGAGATCCATCCCAGCCCTCTCAGTGGGCTGTGCCACCTAAACTCCATGGATCTGCGAGTGCCTCGGGGGCCCATCCACCCCCCTGGGGCTGCTCTGGGTGCTACAGCAGTGACACAGCCGATGCCACCACCCCGTGGTGCCATCCCTGACACATCCCCTGCCTTGCCCCCACAGCTGATCCCACGGAGCGGGGCCGGGGCCGGCGGGCGCGCAGCGGCTGACCATGTTCAACGGGGATGCCAGCTCCATCACCGGCTCCATCACCGGCTCCATCACCGGCTCCATCCCCAGCTCCATCTCCGGCCCCATCTCCGGCTCCATCGCCGGCTCCTCGGCGGCCAGGAATGTGGTGCGCAGCTCCAGCATCAGCGGGGAGATGTACAGCCTGGAGAAGAGCGCGCGGGGCAGCGCCGACTCCGTCTCCGTCACCGCCAGCAAGAAGAGACGCTCCAGCCTGGGCGCCAAGATGGTGGCGATCGTGGGGCTGTCCCAGTGGAGCAAGAGCACCCTGCAGCTCAACCAGACTGGTGAGAGCTCAGCCCCCCTGCCTGCTTTGTTTTCACACCCCAACCCCCCCAGCTCTGGCTGCCCCGTCTGTGATGAGACCCCTAAAAAAGCCGCCCCAAAAAAAGCCCTTTTTAACCCCCCACCCACCCCCGGCGCTTCTCCCGGTGCCGAACCCGTTGGCAAACCCCAGGTGGGGATTTGGGGGATTTTGGAGGTCAAGGCAGTGGTCTGGGACGGTGCCAGCACTTGAGCTTGGCAGGTCTCAGCAGAGTGGGGGTGTCTGGGGTGCAGGGGGGAGATGGTTGAGGTGCAAGGGGGGGTGTCTGGGGCCTGGGAGAGTACCTGGGGTGCAGGGGGGAGCTCTGCCCGTGCTGGGGGTCCTGGCCTGAGTGTCCCCCTCCCCAGTTACACCCAGCCCTGGCTGTGGGCAGGGAGGGAGCTTGGAGAAAGGACTTGTCAAACGCTCTGACTCTGGGAAATATTGGAATGGCTTAAAATAGCTGTTTGAGGGGCGGGGGAAGCACAAAGCTCATTTTAGTGCAGGCTTTTCCTCTAGTTACTGCTTCTTTTTCCTGCTGCTTGTTGGCATCCCATGATCTGGGAAATGCTCTGTAAGGAGGAGTTAATGCAGAGCCCTCCAGCCATCTGAAGTGGGTTTAATTATCCCCAAAAGCCAAGCAAAAAGTGTGGGAGCCACGGAACGGGGGATGGCAGGACGGGACCCTCCGGCTGCTGGTGCCCAGGGGGAGCTGCCAGGACCAGGCAAACCCTTCCACGGGGACAGCCCGGAGTCAGCAGGACAAACCTGGCTCCTCCAGAGCGGTGCCAGCACACACATGGTCACACAGCAGGAGCCAGGGGCAATGCCAGGGGTGGCTGCTCGTGCCACCCTCCTCCTCCTGCCATCTGCCACCGCCTGGGACACGGGGAGTGTGGAGAAAGGGGGACATTGAGGTCAGTCAGGGCTGTGCCCACCTGTGGCACTGGGGGTTCCTGTCCCCTCTGCCACGGGCACATGGGGATTTTGGAGGTCAAGGCAGTGGTCTGGGACGGTGCCAGCACTTGAGTTTGGCAGGTCTCAGCAGAGTGGGGGTGTCTGGGGTGTAGGGGGGAGATGGTTGAGGTGCAAGGGGGGAGTGTCTGGGGCCCAGGGGGGTACTGGGGGTGCAGGGGGGGTTCTCAGCCATCAGAGTCCTGGTGATGTCGGTGCTGAGGGCTGTGGGAGATGGATTTGGGATGCGGGGTCACGGGCAGCCTGTGGCTCTCCAGCACCAGGACGTGTGGGGGTCCTGTGGGAACTCACCCCCAGGGAAAGGCACAGAACTCCGGGTGGGTGATGTGCAGAAGGAAGGCAGGGAGGGGCAGGTGCCAGGGCTCACCTCCTGCCTCCCCTTCCAGAGGGGGGCCCCAAAAAGCTGCGCAGCACCATCCGGAGGAGCACCGAGACCGGCATCGCCGTGGAGATGAGGACCAGGGTGACCCGGCAGGGCAGCCGGGAATCCACCGACGGCAGCACCAACAGCAACAGCTCGGACGGCACGTAAGGCACCGGGGGGGGGCGAGGGGAGTGGGGCCGGGCACCCTCCCGGGGCGCCGGGGCTCGCTGGGGACCGGCAGCCGGACGATGCTCCACCCAAGTCCTTTGCAGGTTCATCTTCCCCACGACCCGGTTTGGCGCCGAGAGCCAGTTCAGCGACTTCCTGGACGGGCTGGGGCCGGGGCAGCTGGTGGGGCGGCAGACACTGGCAACCCCCCCGATGGGTGAGTGCCCGGGCAGGGGAGGTGCCCACCGGGACAGGGGCAGCGCCCGGGGATGCTCCGGCCGAGGGACGGGGCTGCGGGGGGAAAGTGCCCGTGTGCTTCTCCGCGGGGCACAGGGCACGGGCTCCATCCCGGCACATCCCGGGGGATTCTCGGCCCTTTCCCGGCCGCTCTCGCTGCCAGCCCCGCGCCGGGAGGGAGCCTGCAGGGCTCAGGGCAGGGCACGGCGGCTCTGCCCTTTCCCGAGGCTTCCTCTGCCCCTCCGAGCATCCCGCTGCGAAGGGGAACCAAAGCAACCGCCTCCTGTTCCATTTCTCCCTTTTTAAATCCCACGCGGGGATCCAGGAGATGTCCACGTGGGCATGACTGACCGGAACGGGCAGCTGGAGGTGGATGTGATCCAGGCACGGGGACTTATCCCAAAGATGGGCTCCAAGTGCATCCCTGGTAGGTGGCTGGGGAGGGAGGGTGTCGGGGGTGGAGGGGGATGGACACCGTGCCGGGATCATCCCAGGATCACAGTTTCCCTCCCGTTTCCCTGGGCAGCCACCTACGTGAAGGTTTACCTGCTGGAGAACGGCGTCTGCCTGGCCAAGAAGAAGACCAAGATGGTGAAGAAAAGCTGTGACCCGTCGTACCAGCAGCCTCTGCTCTTCGAGGAGAGTCCCCAGGGCAAAGTCCTGCAGGTGACGATCCCCTGGCGCTCCGGGACGCGGAGGGATCACAGAACCGTGGAATGCTTTGTGTTGGGAGGGATCTTAAATCCCATCCAGTCCCACCCCCTGCCACGGGCAGGGGCACCTCCCGCTATCCCAGGTTGCTCCAAGCTGACCTTGGACACTCCCAGGGATCCAGGGGCACCCACAGCTTCTCTGGGAAACTGTGCCACCCTCCCAGGGTGAGGGGAGCCAGCACAGGGCACGGAGCCCCAGTGCCCGCCCTGCTGTCCTCCAGACCTTCCCTCCCCGCTCACAGCGGGTCCCCTCCCTCCGGGCGCGCTGAGTTTGCCGTGTTTTCCCCGGAATTCCCGCCTGGCAGCTCCATAAACCCCCCGTCTGTGCCCGCAGGTGATCGTCTGGGGCGATTACGGGCGCATGGACCACAAGTGCTTCATGGGGATGGCCCAGATCATCCTGGAGGAGCTGGATCTCTCCAGCACCGTCGCGGGCTGGTACAAACTCTTCCCCACGTCCTCGCTGGCCGACTCCAGCATCGGACCTCTGACCCGCCGCCTCTCCCAGTCCTCCCTGGAGAGCTCCACCAGCCCCTCCTGCCCGTAGGGGGGCAGGTCAGTGGGAGAGGGGAGGGGGAAGGAGACGCCCTGACCTACCCAAAGTGGGCGCGGAGAGCTGTAAATATCCTTTTCTTTTTTTTTTTTGGGGTTCCTTTTTTTTTTTTTTTTAATTATTTTTATTTTGAAAATTCTCCTTCCCCAACCGAAAACCTGCCCCTGGACACGCCCCCCTCCCCACGCTCGTGTCCCGGGACGTGGAGGGGATGTGGGAGACACGGAGAGAGGGCCGTGTGTGAGGCAGGGGGGGGAAGGAGGAGCAAAACAAACCCCCTCCGAGGGCTGCAACTGCCGACGATGATCCCAGAACTGTTCCCACGCCTCGTCCCAGCACCTGGAAGGCCTCGAGGTGCCCAGTTCTCTCCTGACCCCCGGTGAGAGCAGCTCAGTCTGGTTCAGCAGCGTGACGACGAGGTTCCTTTCCTTCCATTTCCCTTTCCTTGCCTCCGAGGAAAAAAAAAAGGGAGCTTTCCAAGGGAAAAAAAAAAAAAAAACAAACCACAAAAAACACTCAGAAAAAAAAAAAATCCAACTCAGCACTACTTTTGTTTTCCAAGGAATGTAGCATCTTCTCTTATGTAGCTTTGCCACGTGCTAACAACACACTCACTGCAATATCCAAGAGACTCCGGATGGGCCGGGAACATCTGCCAGTCACGTCCCGTTTGTTCATTTTTCCGAGCACTTTCGGTGGCCATTTTTTCCTTCCTTTTTTTTTTTTTTTTTCCTTTTTTTTTTTTGTTTTTGGTTTTTTCCCCGGTAGCATGTAGCCTGTGAGCAGTGCCATTGCCAAAGCAAGAGAGGGCAGGGAAAGGGGCACTCCCCTCACCTCAGCTGGTTCTTCTGCTCGTGTCCCAACCGCTGACCGGGGGCTCGTCCGGCCACGACGAGACCCAAAAGAGGAACTCTGGGATGCCTCACGTGGAAATTCCAGCTGGGAGAAGGTGGCCCAGCAGAGCAGGAATACCGGGATCATCTGGTTGATCATCTGCCTCCCGGCCCCTTCCTCCCGTGAGGGCCAGCTGGAGGGCTGGGATGCCCTCCCTGGAGCTGGGATGTCCTTCTTAAGGTCTGGATGCCTCCTCAGGGTCCAGGATGCTCTCCTTGAGGACTTGGGATGCCCTCCTCGAGGTCTGGAATGCTCTCCTTGAGGTCCAGGAGTGCCCACCTTTAAGTTGGGATGCCCTCCTCAAGGTCTGGAATGCACTCCTTGAGGTCCAGGAGTGCCCCACCTTGAAGCTGGGATGCCCTCCTCGAGGTTTGGGAATGCCCACCTGCATGTTGGGATGCCCTCCTTGAGGTCTGGGATTCCCTTCTTAAGGTCTGGGATGCCCTCCTCAGGGCCAGGGATGTTCTCCTCAGGGGTTGGGATGCCCTCCCTGAGGTCTGGGATGTTCTCCTCAGGGCTTGGGATGCCCTCCCCGAGGTCTGGGATGTTCTCCTCAGGGCTTGGGATGCCCTCCCTGAGGTCTGGGATGTCCTCCTCGGGGTCAGGACGCCCTTCTCGAGAGCTGGAATGCCCTCCTCGAGGTCTGGAATGCCCTCCTCGAGGTCTGGGATGCCCTCCCTGAGGCCTGGGATGCCCTCCTGGATACTTGAATTCCAAGCAGGAGCGGAGGGTTTGCCCAGCCCTGTTCTCCCAACTCTGGACTCGCTGATTTTGCTACAGGGGAACATCTCAACAAGCAGCTTGTGCTGCTCTGGAATTCGGGTGCCGGAGAGAGGGGACGGCCAAGGGGACTCACTGGGTTGAGTTTCTCGTCAGGATTGAGTGTTTTGGGGGTTTTTGTTTGTGTTGTTTTGTTTGTTTTTAAAAGCAGCATTTTTGGTTCCCTCCGAGGGACCCAGTTCTTGTAGCAAACCCGAGAATTAACGGAAGCTTTTTTTGAAGGTGCCTAAATGAAATTTGCTGAAAAATACTCAGGGGAGACACCACTAGAAACTCTGGTTTCTTCGTAAAATGAACCTAATCCAATGACTGTCCTGAAGGATCAGTTCCCAAAAAGAGAGGAAAACAAAAAAAACCAACCCAACACACCAAAAGATGAGCAGTTTGGAGACTGGAAGAGGACAAGAGGTTAATGGGGAATTTTTGCCAACCAGCTGGCTCTGACCTTCAGTCTTCACCACAAACCAACCCACAGCACAGCTGGGATTTTTATACAATTATTTCTTGGCAAAACACGGAATTCCACAATGCACACAGAGCACAACAAACCCACCGAGGTTCTCCTGGTGACACCGGGAACGACGAACCAGCTCAGCCACCACGGAACAAAACCAAACCTGAAGGAAAAGGACTGTTGGGATGAAGCTGTTCCCTCCACAAACCCCAACCTGGGGGTCCCCAAACCTGGGGGTCCCCAAACCCCCAAACCTGGGGGTCCCCAAACCTGGGGTTCCCAAACCCAAACCTTGGAGTTCAAACCCCCAAACCTGAGGGTTCACAAACCCCAATCTTGGAGTCCACAAACCCAAACCTGGTGGTCCACAAACCCAAACTCAAATCCAGGGGTTCACAAACCCAAACCTTGGGGTCCCCAAACCCACATCTGGGGGTCAGCAGGACTCCACTGTGCAGTGTCTGCTTTGCCCAACAGCACCGAATTGAAGTGACATCCTGACAAGGACTTTCAGCTGCTGTCTCAACTTTGCCAACCCAAAATCGCTGTAGACCTCTGAGGAAAGAGGAGGCCCAGCTGCTGCTGACCTGGGATGGGGAAAGGTTCATCCTTTCACTTCGTGAAGGGTGAAATCCTCTGCTGGAGCAGCTCGCTCCGATTCCTGGGCTCCTGCTGGATGGCAATGGAAGGAACGTGGGATGCACTGAACCTCCAGTGGTTTGGGGAAGCCAACTCGGTGCCCTGACTCCTGAAACAGGGACTGGCACTGTTTGGAACGTGATGTTCCTTGCAGAGCACGGAGCAGCTCCACGAGCTCGGCGGCGCCCGGACGAGGCCGAGCTTCCTCTGCCCGGCGCTGGGTTTCTGACTGCACATCAGGGAAAGCATCCTGAGAGGAAAAGCTTTCCTCTCCTCCTCAGCTGACACTATTTACTTTTGCTTTAGCAGCCCTGTTTCGATGGGAAAATGCCAAACCTGCCCGCGGTGGGAGCACGGAACGTCCGCGGGGCCGCGGCGTGGGCAGAGCAGGGAGCTCTGCAGGGACTGTTGTGCTCGCTGCTGTGGGCACACAGCATCCCACCCCCTCCCTTCCCAGCTCTGCATTCCTCCAGCAGAGCTCCTTTTCCCTGCTCCTCTCCCTGCCAGGAACATCACACGCCTGTGTTCTGACAGAGAACAGAGGCGGGTGAGGAGCAGCAGAACATCCCGACCACGCGCCCGGGGTCCGGCAGCAACCTCGCTGCTCCTGCCCCAGTTACCAAAAACCCCGCTGGAAAAACCCAGAGGAAAGAACCAGCACCTGGAAGGCACAACCTGGGCGCTCCAGGGAACAAGGAAAACCCGAAGATTTTTGCTTCTTTCTGGTCCCTGACAAGCTGAGGATGCACTGGGGGGTGACTGAACAAACTGCTCCCCAGTTCCCCCTCGGTGCTGGGTTCGTGTTTGCTGCCTCATGGGGCTGATCCCTCCTGCTCCTGGACACTGGCAAGGTGGAGCCTCCATGCAGTGACTTCAAATGACCAAAATCCTACAAGACCTTCCCTTCTTCCCTTCCAGTACCCCCCAACCAGGAGCTGCCACTCACTGCCCTTGGGGAAGCACCTGGGTCAGGACCCACCTTGCACAGGTGTGGGAAAACTAAACTGGGGGAATTGTGCCACAGTCACACTGAAACATCAGCTCCTTCTCCTTTCTCAGCTCCTTCTCCTTTCTCAGCCCCTTCTCCTTTCTCAGCCCCTGAGCCCCTGGGTCAGATGTTTTCCCTCCTCCAGCAACGAGAACAATGAAGCCAAGACCCCCCATTGCTTTCTACGGGACACCCCAGAAATCCAAAACTCAGCCACTGAGAAAATTCACTCCATCCCAAGACAAACCAGAAGCTTCTGCACTCCGGGGTTTTTCCCTTTGCTGGGGGAATGTTTTATTGCCAAGGGCATTTTTTTTCCACGTGCAATAGGATTTGCAAAAGGTGGCTGCCTCGGTATTATGGGTCAGATTATCTCCTCTACCTCCCATCACGGAAGGAAAGTCAAACCACTTGATTTGGCAGATATTTCTCCCCCAGAAAGAATAATTAATACGAAATGACATCAGCTCTGCAGGCTCTTTTACACCCAGCCCCCAGCAGTGAGGAGCAGCACCCACCTGACACAGACCTCTCTGAAGCACTGATGGTGCTGCTGGGGCTGGAATCAAACCCCCAGCTGGAGTCACAAGGCTGGATTTTACCAAAATAGCCTTGAAATGGTACTTAAACATCCCCTAAATGCTAATAGAAGTCACAGCCACGCAGCAAAGCACAGAAAGCACTCCGTGATTCCAGGCCTGAGTTGTCCCTGTGTTTTCTCCTGGCCTGGAATGGGCTGAGTTTGCCAAAGTGGAGTGAAAATTTTCAAGGGCAGCAGGAGCTGGGCCCAGAAATCAGCTCCTGTGTCATCATGGCATGTTGAAAGCAGGGGGAGAGGATGCTTCAATGGAGTTCTCCAGAAATCCAGTGAGATACAAAAACAATTCCCAGGAATCAGGAAACTGAACCTGCTGCCGCAAAGCACCGGAGCCGGTGGGAAGCATTCCCTCCACACCCAGCTCTTCCAGCTCTTGCAAGCTTTTATCTCCAGAAGCAGTTACAGATGCAGCTCTTGGTTACAAATCCAAGAGCAGGAATTCCTCAGGAGTGGGATCAGGATTCCCCTTTGCTGATAGGGAATCTCTTCTGGGGCACCACAGCTCGGGCAGAGCCGAGACTTGGGAAGAGCAGCCTGGACCTGGGTGTTTGGGAGAGGAGCAGCCACATTCCACCCCTTGCCTGGTTTTCCTGGGCTCACAAACCCCCAGCACTCTGAGAACAGCCAGAGGGTCCTTCCTGCTCCAAAATTACTTCCAAAATCAGCACCAGGGATGTTTTTTCCAGGTGGAAAGAATCCACCTTCTGTTTTCTTCTGGTTGATTCAGGGGCTTCGCTCCAGACTGAGGTGACACGCTCGGATAACCCACATCTGTCACCTTCCCAAAGGTGTGGGATTGGCCACTGGTTTGGAAAACAACAGCACTGTCCAGGTCAGGGAACAGTGTTCCAGCACTGTTTGTCTCACTGGCTGAATCCAAAGCCCAAGTGTGGTTTGCATCGTGGATGGAAAAAGATGGGAAGAGCTCTCCCTGCTTTCCTTTGGGGTTTCTTGCCTGCAGATGGATCTGGAGAGTCGCCTGCAGGAACAGCAGGGTTTGCATCCAAAGGCATGAGGGCCCTTCCAATGATCCTCCAGCAAAGCTGCTTCATCTGGAAATCTGCCTTCTGCTCCATGGAATCCCAGAATGGTTTGATTTGGAAGGGACCCTAAAGGTCGTCTCGTTCCACCCCCTGTTCCATGGGCAGGGACACCTTCCACAATCCCAGGTTGCTCCAAGCCCTGTCCAACCTGGCCTTGGACACTTCCAGAGATGGGGCAGAGTTTCTTTCTCACAGAGAAACCCCCCCCCCAACCCCTGGCTGGTTGCTAGAGGTGCAAAAGTTGTGTTTAGGAGCTAAAAAGAAGGTTGAAAAGCGGCAGGAAAAGCTTGTTAGGGGGAAAAAAAATAAAAGCATCTGCAGCAGCACGGTTGGAATTTTGGGGTGAAGACAATCCTGCTCACCAGAACCCTCCTGGGGAAGATTTAGGGTTTAAAACAGACCTGGAAAAATGTTGAGCAAAGAGTTTGTCCTGCTGTCTGAGGAGCTGCCGCAGCGCTGGAGCTCAGCCACCCACCTCAGGCATGGAGACCAGGATGGGACAGGGACACCAGGATGGGACAGGGACACCAGGATGGGACAGGGACACCAGGACAGGGCACAGACACCAGGAATCCAGGAGGAACCAGCGTGGTCCCACAGCTGCCCCCCAGGCCAGGAGCTGCCGTGCCCCCCGTGCCTGCTGGAGCTCCGGTTGTTGTGATACCTCATCCTTTCATTTGTCCCCCTCCTTTCCCCCCCTATTTTTTTGTTCTTTCAGACCCAGAGCTTGTGCACTCGCCCCCATTCAGGTTCTGTTTTGTTGTACCTGTGCAATGCAGAGCAATCCCAGCCCCGGGCCGTGCATCTCCCACCCTCTGCTCCCTCTGGCACTGTGGAATGCTGAGCTCCAGGCGAGGGGAGCACGAGCCCAGGGGGTCCTTTGGGGGGAGGGAGGGTTTGGAGGGGCCCCCTCTGTGCCCTCCTTTCATCTCTGCTGTCAAACAGCCCCCCCAACACCCTCCCGGGGGCTCGGGGCCACAACCCTGCTCCCGAATCCCTCCCAAAGCTCCTGCCTGAGGCAGGGATGGGGAGGGAGCCTGGGGAGCAGGCAGGGATGGAGGGAGGGGTGGAGCCCTGATCCCGACCCCCGAGAGGAGGGCTGTGTGTAAATACCCAGATCCCGGCGCTCGTTTAAAAAAAAAAAAAAAAAAAAAAAAAAAAGGGAATTTTTTCCTGCTAAAAAAAAAAGGGAATTTTGTCCTGCTAAAAAAAAAAAAAGGGAATTTTGTCCTGCCCGTGTGAAGCAGCAATTCCTGCCGTGTGGAAGGAGCAGCTCCCCCTCCCCGTCCCCACCGGCCAGGGAGGGCCCCTGGCAGCGGGTGCCTCGTGAATGTTTAGAGCACTTTGAAGTTGGTGGCCTTGTTTTTCTTAAAGGGCTTGATTTTTTTCGTGCAGTTTAAATGGAATTATTCCCACCCCCCCCCCCCCCCCACTACCACCACCCCCTCCATCGTGTCATCCCACTCCCCACCTCCAAATCCACGCTAGGAACGAGCTCCTGGATCGTGTAAGAAACGATCCAGGATTCAAGAATCTGTCATTAATCCCCAAAGTTTATACCTCAAAGAGAAAAAACAGCAGCTTAGGGACAGCTCCGGGGGGAAGCAGCAGCTCCAAGTTGGAAGTTCATCCCTGAATTTGGTTCTTGACAGCACCAGGGAAATCAAACCCACACGAGCACAGGGGGAAAAGCACCAAGGAGGTTTTAAAAGCAACAGAAGTGAAGTTTGGAAACGTTCATCCTGTCAAAAGAAATTCTGACTTTATATTCCCAATTGAGGGGTTTTGTCCAGAACTCTTTAAGCACAGCCTATGCCTCCAAACCTAAGTAGTCTCAGGGGGCATAAAAGGGTCCAAAATTGTTCGAGGGAGGATTGATGAGATCATTAAAGGCAGTGAGGTGCATCCAGGGCTCAGCCTGTCATTCCCAATCCCAGCCCTTCCCCTGGCAGCTGGAGCTGAGAGGAGTTACTGGGGCAGGGGTGCAGCTCAAAGTGACACAACCACACAAGGACACACAATTCTTCACGTTTTCCAGCCTAAAAATCCCCCCCATCCCCTCCAAAAAAATGCATTAAGAAGGATGAGCTGACCCAGGAGAGCCCCCGTGGGGTTGGGAAGTGCCAGAACCCAATTAGCCAGGAGTTAATTGGTGCTGAATGAAAAGGTGCCAGGTGTGTCACCACCACACCCCAGGGATCAGGAGAGGCAGGAGAACTCCCAGGACTGACACACTCACCTTGGATACCTTTGGATTTCGGGAGCCAGGATGGAAGCAGCCAGTGAACCCCCCCACTCCTGTTCCGGGATAAACTTGGTTTGATGACAGATTCCTTCTATTTGACAACTCCCCCCCTAAAGAATCACCCCAGAGGGGGGGAACTGGAGGGTCCTTTGAGCCCCCAGTTCCACGTCCAAGACAAGGGGATGGGCTTGTGATGGATCCTTGAGAGAGGGAATGGATTTCAAACAAGCAAATGGCAATTTTCTACCTGTGTTCTGTACCTGTTTTCTATGTGTGTGGTCTTTCTTAAATGTCAAACTCTTGTATTTTTGTGGTTTCTATATGCAGCAGGACTGATGGCTGTGAGGGTGCACGCTGTTTTTGTAAAATATTCCTTAGCCAGTTTTCCCCCCACCCCCAAAAAAAAAACAAAAAAGAGGGGAAAACCTGAATTATTCACATTTTCATTGGCTTGTACCTGCATGTACAGTATTGGGGCAGCAAGTGAAGATGATTAAAGCCAGCTTGAAAACTTTCTTCTGTGCTTGAGTCAAGTTTTTCAAAACATGCAGCCCAAACAAGTCACCCATCAGACACACTGGGGAGGAAGGGAAAAGAAGAAACTCCTTTTTTTTTTTTTTTTGCTGGAAAAAGCAGGTTTTGACTTGAGGAAAGAAATACCATAATTAACAAGCAGAGTATCATCAGCTCAAGGCCCCCACAAGGAGCTCTGAGCTCTCCCTGCAGCTGCACAGCCACCCACAAACCTTCCTGCCTGTGCTTCAGGTGACTCCCAAATCCCAGCCAACCTTCCCTAAGGGTGGGGAGGGACTTTGGGACAAGGGCCTGGAGGGACAGGACACAGGGAATGGCTTCCCACTGCCAGAGGGGAGGGTTAGGTGGGATATTGGGAAGGAATCCTTCCCTGGGAGGGTGGGGAGGCCCTGGCACAGGTTGCCCAGAGAAGCTGTGGCTGCCCCATCCCTGGGAGTGTCCAAGGCCAGGTTGGAACAACCTGGGATAATGGGAGGTGTCCCTGCCCATGGATTGGTGGGATTGGATGATCCTTCAGCTCCCTCCCAACCCAACCCATTCTATTCCATAATTTTATGATCGTTAACTTTTTGTGGAACCTTAAAATGCACCTTTTGGCTGAGCCTTGGTCAGGGTTCTGTTGAAAAAAATGAGTGTAAAAGCTGAATAATTTAATTCCCCCCCCCCCAAACTCTTGTATATAAAAGCATCCACTGACCTGATTGTGCCTGGCTGAGCCCAGTTCTTGGAGTGCTGGCAGCCCCTCAGCTCCTTGACATTTGGGACACGGCCTTGGAATTTGGGCTGGAACACCCCAAAATCCCCACAGCTGGAATGAACAACTCACCCTGACCCCACCACTGAAAAAAAACCCTGCAGAGCCAAGGGGGAGATTTCACTGCAATGTTTTATTTGGGAATTTACATATCCACAGGAGAAAGCAGACCACAGTCTGACCTCTTGCTTGCTCAGGGCTGATGACTTTGAAGCAGTTTGTGTGTTCTACTGGAGATGAGAAAAGAAAACCTGCCTAAGATTCAAAATGTCCAAAAAGCGAGCCAGGAAAAGGGGACCAAGGATTACACAGGAAAAACAACAACAACCAAAAAGAAAACAAACAAACAAACAAAAAATATATGAAAAAAGTATAAATTAGGATGTCATAGTCATTTTTAAAAGTGTAAGAAAACTCGCAGTGGGCTCTGAGCCCCGGATAAGTTAACTCTCAGTTAAGATTGTTAAAAGTTTAAATACATCAAATGCCAACAATCAGACAGAAAAAGCCACTCTGAAGTGCAAGTTTCACATTCCATGGGCTTTGCCCCCACACCGGGCGAGAATCCTGCTGGCTCAGGGGGGGAGGGACGGGGGGGCTTCCCAAGGACTTTGGTTCCAATGAGGGTCAGAGAGCTGAGAACTCGCTCAAGGGAGGAGGTAGCAAGTCTTGCTTGCCCCTGGGCTCGGGGGAAATCCAGTTCCTCAGCACCAAACGAGGTTCCCCACCCCTCTAACTAACCCCAAACCTACTAACACTGGAGTTTTAAGTGACAAGGCCTGGCTTTAGCAGGCAGAACAAAGGAGAGATTCCACCTCTGCCCAGCAGGACATCAAGTGCTACCCAGAGGAGGTTTGTGCAAGGAGGGGGATCCCCCCTGACTGTGCATTGACTGTGCTGGGGACGGGGGAGCTCATGGGCTGGTCACCGAGGAGGTGTCACCCTGTGTGACAGTGAGAAGGCAGAGATGGGTCTCTGGGGGGGGTGGGTGGAAGGGTCCGGGGCTGGGCAGCCCCAAAAAGGAAAAAACCCTGAATGTCTCATGGAGAGCAGGTTTGAAGAACAGAACAGAAGGCAAAAATGGTCACAACGCGAGGGCTCATTTCCACATCGGGGAGCTGAGGGACTGGTTGCTGCCCTGGGCTCCTCCTCCTCCCATGGACTGTCCATAGCCCATCATCCCGTTGGCTCCGTAGAAGTTCATCCCAGCCATCTGCTGGGTCACCTGCAGATGGGAGAGGGGAGAGGAGGGAGGTCAGGGAGGTGTCCTGGACGCTGCCAGCCCAAACTCGGGCTCCACAACGTATCCCAGGCTTAAGCAGAAGTTTCTCTGAAGAGTTAAGGGGAGCAGGTCTGTGGCTCCCAGGCACGAGAGGACACGGGATTGGGATTAGGCTGTGTCAGGGAAGCTTTAGGTTGGACATCAGGAGGAATTTCTTCATGAAAAGGGTTGTCAAGCATTGGAAGGGGCTGCCCAGGGAGGTGGTGGAGTCCCCACCCCTGGAGGTGTCCAAGGAATGACTGGACATGGCACTCAGTGCTCTGGGCTGGGGGACAAGGTGGGGATGGGGCACAGGGTGGGTCCATGGGCTGGGAGGGCTTTTCCAACCTCAGTGACTCTGGGACTCCCCATCCCTGGAGGTGTCCAAGGAATAACTGGATGTGACCCTCAGTGCTCTGGGATGGGGCACAGGGTGGACTCCATGGGCTGGGAGGGCTTTTCAGTGACTCTGGGACTCCCCTCCCCACAAGCTGAGCTGACGTCCCACAGATTTTTGCTCTCCCCCCCCGTGCGACCCCCCTCTCCAACCACACCAACCCTGCCCACCCCGGGGAGCCTCCAGGGCCCATCCCAGCTCCCTCCCTGCCCTCCCCCTGTTCCCAGCAGTGCCCCCTGACCTGGGCAATGTTCCACTGCAGCTGCTGGGCGGGCTGGACCCCGTAGACGGGCTGTGGCACCGCCGCCACCCCGGCCACGTACCCGCCCTGCTGGGCGCCCATGACGCCGTTGGGGACGCCCAGCACGGCCGCCTGCACGCTGCCCACGTAGCCAGCTGGGATGGCCAGGGGGGCCACCATGCCCCCGGCCCCGGGCTGGGCCACCATGCCCACCGAGGGGGCCAGCAGACCCCCCATCATGCTGCCGGACGGGGTCACGCCCGGAAAACTGGGATAGGCGGCGGCGGGATACGGGATCTGAGCCGGGGCCATGAACATCGCGCCTGGGGAGAGGCAGGGAAGGGAGCAGGGAGGAAGTTCGTTGTCCTGGAATGTCAGTTTTCCAATCCCAAACCCCTTCCAATCCCAAACCCCTTCCAATCCCAGCCCCACACTCAGCTGCTCCTTGTGTTCCCAAGAGAGGGGAGAGGGGGCTTTGGAGAGGGATGTGACAGGACACAGGGAATGGCTTCCCACTGCCAGAGGGCAGGGTTGGATGGGAGATTGGGAAGGAATCCTTCCCTGGGAGGGTGGGGAGGCCCCTGGCAGATTTACTGGATGTAATCAAATCACAACATATGCTTGGGTAGGGGGGAAAATCAACAGTGTTAACCAATTGTAGCTCAGGCCTGGCTTGGAGGAGCCAAATCCCAAGTTCTGCAGCAGTTTCTGCTGAAAAACAACATTTGTGGTAATCCCATTGTGGAATTGGGTGATGCTGGTTTGGTAACAGGCACGGGAATTCCCTCTGCTCTGCTCAGGGGCTTGTGGTTTTGGACAGAAGGGTTGGTGGTTTGTGTTGGTTTGAGCCCCAGGATTTGGGGTTTGGGACCAGGCAGGCTCAGCCCTGGGCCTGTCAGAGTGGGAATAGGTGGGATATTGGGAAGGGATCCTTCCCTGGGAGGGTGGGGAGGCCCTGGCACAGGGTGCCCAGAGAAGCTGTGGCTGCCCCATCCCTGGGAGTGTCCAAGGCCAGGTTGGAGCAAGCTGGGCTAGTGGAAGGTGTCCCTGCCCATGGCAGGGGTGGGACTGGACAAGCTTTAAGGTCCCTTCCCACCCAAACCATTGTGGGATTCTCAAAGACCACCCACATTCCCACATCCCTGTCAGCTGCCAGGACACCCCACCCACCCCAAACCAGCGTTGCCCACGAGCAGCTCAGCCCTGAGGTACCTTGGGCAGGCAGCTGGGGGGTCTGGGAGCCATATAGGGACAGGATGGAATCCTTGGAGAGCTGCTTCTTCCCCACTTCCTCCCCTTTGCCTCCGGGCTCAGGGAAGAGGTTCAGGTTTTCGGGAACAGAACCAGCACTTCCAGAGGTTGGCATCGAGCCAAGGACCTGTGACAGGGACAGGGATTAGGACAACATGTGCCCCCAGCCCCAGGGAGGGCACCAGGGGTCGGCCCCTCAGCCCTGCTCTGTGCAGGGACACGTGGCAGGACAAGGGCTCACAGCTTTCACATCAAAGAGGGCAAATTTAGATGAAGGAGAGTATTTTAGGAATTAATTGGAATTAATTCCTGGAAGTGTTCAAGGCCAGGTGAAACAGGGTTTGGATCAACCTGGTCTAGCAGAAGGTGTCCCTGCTCACTGCAAGGATGAGATGACCTTTAAGGGGCCTTCCCCCCCAAATTTTCCTGTGGTTCCATGACCCCACCAGGCCTTGCTGAGCACCAGCATTCCCTGCTCACCCTCCTGGAGTCTGAGCTTGATCCCACTGATGCAAAGAGGTCCAGGTCCTTCTCCAGGCTGCTGGGCCTGCCGTTGGTGACAGGGGTTGTCACGGGAGCATCTGGGAGAGACAGAGCTGTGCTGGCTGTCCCCACACTGGTTTGGGGACACCTCCTTCCCCTCCCTGCCAAGGTGCCACCCCATCCCACTGCCAGCACCTCCCTCATCCTTCTGGGCCACAAGAGGAGCTGGAGCAGGACTCAGAAGTGTCCTGTGTGTCCTGTTAACCTCAGAGTAGCAGTGTGTGCTGACCACAGAGCTGCTCCTGCAACACTCCAGGCACAAAACTGCTCCAGCATAAAGGAAAACACCAGGAAAAATGCTCCTGCTGCAGCACTGAGGGCTGTGCTTGAGCTGCACTGGAACAGTTCAAGCAGAACACTCCAGTCTTCCTACTGTTGACAGGGAAAATCACCACTAAAAGCTCATCAAATTCACCAGATGGGTTTAAAAAGTCACTCAAACCAGGGCAAAAGGGCTGGAAAGGCTCTTACCAAGTCCCAGCAAGTCCATTACTGGCTCAGATTTAGGAGAACTTTTTCTAGACTGCTGCATTTCTTCTTTCTTTTGAGGCTGGAGGTGGGGGAAAGAACACCAAAAGTCTTGATCAGATTTGGGGTTTACTCTGGTGTGTCTGAGGCTTTAATGAGATTAACCCTTAAAATCCTTTTTGGATGTAAGTGAAAGAAGTGAAAAACAAAAGTGGAATTCTCTTTGTTCTGCCAAAAAGAGAATTTCAGAGCAAATGTTACTGAGCTCTTCTATTGCCCCAACAGGTTGGAGCCCACTGTCAAATCCAAGCAGGCTCTTAAACTAGGGAAAAGGAGCTGCTCAGGCTGGAAAACTGAGCAGGGAATAGCTGGATTCCAATCTGCTCTGCAGTGCAAGGCAGAGAGCATCTGCTTAATATCTGGGTGAGCAGAGGAAAACAAGCTCCCACCAGCAGAGTGACTCAAAGCACCCACTGCTATGACTGAGGCCAGAAAAAATGCTCCCAGAGCAGGCTGGAGGTGCCTCCACCACTGATCCACCACCATCCCCTCTGCTCTTACCATTTTCACCTTCTCAAAGATGATGGGTTCCAGTTTTCTTTCCGACACGGGCTCGTTGCTCCTTTTCCATTTGTCATCCTTTTCTTTCTGTCAGGGAAAACAGACTGAGGTGAGGGGCAGAGCTCAGCATCACACCAGGAGGAAGTTCACACATGATGCTGTCACTGATGTGAAAACCCTCAGATGCAGCTCAAGAGCTGTATTTGAGCTCCAGATTTTTTTTATGTGTCCTGCTCTGAGCAAGGAACTGGACAAGACCCCTCAAAGATCTCCAATTTAAATTTTCTCTCCCTGACTGGC